AGCAAATCCTTACATTTGAGAAGCTGGAGCATGTTTGGTGATATCGATTAACTGATCATCAAAATATTAGTTATCAGATTAATTTTCTGTCAGTTGATTTAATTGATAAAAATGCTAATTTTGTTCAGCTCTAGTAAACTTCATTTGTAAGTAAACAGGACATGTAATATTGGAGCCGGTGGTTCTGCAGTCGGGCTGAACGGTGGGAAGGTCACTGGTGATGAATGTGCGGTATATTGATGTGCTCTTAGGACTAACAAGGAAAACTCATTGTTAGTGGTATTCTGCATGCTTGGGGACGCCACCCTGCTACAAATCCTCTCCCGCCCCTTGACCAAACTGACTGAATCGTGGCCGGCGCTGCGTTCAAATCTCATTGCTAGCTCCCATCAGGGGCTCCGTCCCAATAAAGATCTGGGACATTGCAGGATTATCTCTCTGGTGCCTCCACTGTGGGGATTTTTTTTTTAAGGAACAGCCGAGCGGCGCAGACAACCTGAGGGTGCAGCCGGCGTACCTCAGGGGCCCCACACACCACCTCTTGTACCATTTGACGAGAGTGGGAGCCTGGCACTGAACAGAGGCAGTCAGCAGGCAACGAGGCAGACATTTTGACATGTTCCAGCAGAAAAGGCACAGGTGTAGTTAATAACATTATGTTGCTGCCAATGCCATGAATTCCATTTAAGTGAGGCAGTTCTGGGGCCCTGTTATTGAAATGGCTTACAGGGACACTTAATGGGACGGAGGAATCATTAATGTTATTAGTAACACCTGTGTGCTCTTCCTGTTATGACGAGTCAAAATGTCTGCTGTGAAAGAGGTCTGTCACATTTTAACTGTTGCCTTTCCGAAAGTCTCTGCACACCCACACACACGGGTGTCATTCTCGATGATGTTGGGTCTATCTATGCTCGGAAATATGAGGTCATCCAATGCTGTGTATTGATAAGAATGACGAAGCTGCAACAAAACTAACTGGAGAGTCAGGAAGCTGTCAGTCAAACACCGTCTGTGCAGACCCACACAGTTAGAAGTGCTCTGATTTACCAACATAAGTGAAAACACCTTAATTAATAATAAACTGTTATAATAAATATATAATAAATAAAATAGATTGCAGGACAAAGAACACATTTGATGACATCCTTAAGGCATCTAGGAAATTGTGAGGGCAATTTCTCACTATTTTCTGCTGTTTTGTGGACTAAACGATTGATCGATCAGTCGAGAAAATAATTGGTAGTTTAAGCTAAAATGAAAATATAATTTGTTGCAGCCTAATTAAATTTACAGTGATATCAAAGATAAATGACCATGTTGGTGATCACAACTGTTAGATTCATTTTCAATTGATTCATTCAATTGATTGATGACGAATGGACTCTTCAAAATTAGACATTTTTGCTGGATAAATAACTTAAATGAGTAATCGATTATATCGACTGTCTAAACTATTAATCAACAAACAATTCAGCACTAGTCAGGACCTCAGATAGTTGATGGCATGCCATTTACTATACTGAGCTGCAATGATTAGGAAATTGGCAGGAATTTGATAGTTGAGTAATTGTTTTTGTCATTTTTCAAGCAAAAATGACAGTAAGTCGTTGACTTGTTGGAGCTTCTCAAATGTGAATGTGCTGCTTTTCTTTACGTTATTAAACTGATTATCTTTGGGTTTTGGACTGTCCTTCAGGCCAAACAAGGAATTCGAATATCTCAGCTATAATTTGGGTAATGCAGTTTTCACTATTTTCTTTCAGTGTCTAAACTAACAGCAAATTAAGCAACTGTGAAGCTAATTGTTCTAAGTTTAAAACCACCGATCCCGAGGCTTACCGGTAGGCGAGTAATAGATAGATGAGTCAGTGATGAGACTGTGTTGGGAAGTTTCCAGACCAGATTGTAAATAAAATAGTTAACAACCATCTTAATTGCATAAAGCATCCCAGCTGATTTTTCACATGTTGGAACAATCAGGATTCCTGGGGGTATAGATGGCTATATTGGCCTGTGGCATGCTTTACTGCTGCTGTAAAGGGCTATACTTTACACCCAGTGAAAATCCAAACTCTCCTGGGCTGCACACACACACACACACACACACACACACACTCCCGATGCTGAAACAGAACCTGAGAGGCCTTTCCCCTGACTGCCCACCACCACGAGAATCTGTTGACTTGGCAAAAAGCGTCCTGATGGATGACTGGACTGAGCAGACGTCTGTATACTGGAGCTCTGAATTATGTGCTGCATAGCCAAATAGTTGTGACTGAGGCTTTCACAGGCACGATGCTGACAGACAGCCGCAGGGCCGGTCACATTACCAGGTACGCCTGCTGCAGGTCCATCTGTGCAATCATAAAAGAGAGAGATCTCCATGAACGACTCTAATGTGACAAAAGAGAAGAAGTTCTGTATGTCAACTTCCTGTATCATGTTCTCACATGTTTCGCAGTTAACTTCATGTGGGTTGGAATGACCGGCGCCCTCTCCTCGCAGCGTGGGATCCTATTGCCTGACACGCGTTTGAATCACTTCCCCTATTAGCCACCTCCCGCAGGGCAGACAAGCTGTGGTTTGCTTCCAAGCTAATCGTCATCCCAAGGTTTCACTGAGAAGTCTCCTGCATTACAATCACGCCGTGATGCAGCTGTGTGTCCTGCTGTGGGCCTAATCCATTATTCTGACAGTATTTTTCTCTGGCTGCTCACCGCCATTGCTGCCGGCTGGGTCAACAGTAATGCAGGCTGACTGCGCAGAGAGGGATGGATGGAAAGAGAGTTTCTTTAATAAAGAGCCACAAACGGGGATTCAAGGCCACTCTCCCTGTCAGGGTTACCATTAGCTGCTTCGCAGTTCAGGCAACTTCAGATTCTCACCTTGAAGAGTTTCTGGCTACTTTATTCTGAGACTAAGTTTGAGACTGACATGTCTGCCTAAGGTTTCATTGACGTCAGACAGGAGATGAATGCCTGATTTAGATTCAATGGTGATTAGATAACCAGCCGAGAAAATTTGAGTTGGTTAAAAGTGAAGTCAGCCCAGATTAATTTTCTCAAGGCTGTACTTTTTAAATAGCACTTAAAAGGCTATAAACGAAGGATTTTCTGGAAAATTATTGTCCTGTCAAAGTAAAAGTATGTAAATTGTATCAGAATTAGGGCCGGTTGAATAATTTGTACTTGCCAAAACGATGATCATGTGGGCATCTGCATGACTTTTCTTGTGAAATGTATTAAAATAATAGAATTTCCTCCTTTAATCGTTTATATGTGCACATTCATTTGGCACTGATTGTTTTTTTTAAGTGCAAAGCTGACACAAACTCAAGACCGTAGGATGAGCCATCGTGTCCCTTCAGAATAAGCTCAGTAAAGAGTAAAAGAGGGATTGAAACAAAGAAGTGTAATGATTCCTGTCTTTTCTGTCTAAAGGCATGTTCATTACACAGTTGAGTGCATCATTATTTGTGTAACATCTGTCCTTGCTACCTGCTTTTATAGATTGAAGCCATGCTGCACTTATTTCCTCAGGGAGAATATTCATAAACATGAAGAAAACCTTTCATTTCATTGTAGGAATCCCAGCTTTTGAGCCACTTTTTGACCCTTTTTCATGCTTAAAAAATTAGTCAGTAACAAAACTTGTAGCCACAGGTGGGAGGTTAATTCTAGAGGGCAACTATGTGATATGGAGAGCTGCGTAAATAGAAACGTTGCTTATTAAACTGTCACCTCATGGCCCGCGTAACCAGAGCAAATGACCTCTTCACCTCGGTGCCCCACAGGCCATGCGAGGGCTGTATGTCACCTAGCTGGACAGATATTCAAATATTTTTTTTTTTCTCTCCCTCAGCATTGCTGCCTTTTATCCACTGGCCGTTATTCAGCCTGATTAAAGGAATTCAATTTCCATCTGTTGCGTGGTGATATTTAGTTCCAGACACAAGCGGCTCTGTGATGAGCTCTGAGAGAGAAGAGAGATGCTGTTGAATGCAGAAGAAGGACGGGGATGCATGCGCTCATTGTCAAAGTGTTTGCAGAGCCTGACGCAAGACTTTTAAGCATTCATTTGTCACCGCAGCTCCGTCGCCCCGAGGCTTGGGTTTGAATTTGACTTTGATTGTCATGCCAGGCACTCACTGCCTCGAGCCCACCCTCACGCTCTGCCACCAAGGGACCTGGGGATCTGGTCAGGAATTTGCTCTTGAAAGGACTTTGGTTTGGCATCGCTTGTCTGTCCTCATGTGCACACTGCATGGACTTTGATGAGACGACTTTATACCTCGGAGCTGGCCTGCCACTCACTCAGACCCCCTGCTGCACGTCTTTCACCTGGCACTGATAAGACCTAGAGCTGCATTTGCTTTTGAAATTTTTATTTTTATTGATGATCTAAACATCTATCTGGTTCCTTTCACTCCTACACATTTGTCAAGTGTGTGTCAACTGGTGTCTGTGACTCACTCAGAGGGCTGCAACACCAAACGGCAGCTTTCTTTTAAAGCTAATTGGTGACACATCGGTGGCACTAAGCTAGGCTGAGCCCCGTGTCTTTTCTACAACCGCAGGTGCAAACCTCAACCTCCAGCATTTCTTCCTCTTGTTGTTCGCTTATCCTGTCTGTGGACACGGTACTCAGATTCCCTTTGAACTCTCCCTGACACCCCACATCTCTGTTTTTAGCTTCCCTAAGGGGTATTAAGGGGTGCATGAGTCATTTGCTTTCACTCTGCACGTTGGCATCTGCTACCGTAAGCAGCCGGTAGTGTCTATCGCCTGGACCTGCCTTCTCAGTCACTCTCTGAAACTTGCCATTTGAGCGGCTAATGGAGAGGAGCCCACAGC